TTTCTGCTTTTGTAGCTCGAGCCAACTCTCGGCAACAGTCCAGCGAAAATCCGCGCCGTTTTCCTCCTTATTCCAAACTCGAAACCTTAGACATATTTAACTAACTTTTAAACAAATTGCAAAGTACTCCTTGAACTTTTACAATCTATCAATTTAAGTCATTTGTCTACAGAATATGCCAATTACAAAATCAACTAAAACCTAACAAATATAAATTGAGATTTTTATTTTTATTTTTATCGTATCACCTATTTGACAAAGGTGGCATAAGAGATCTCGTGAAATTATTATAAATAAACTTGAACTACAGGAAATCGTAGGGTCAATAATAATCAATATATAACTACAAACACTAGAAGAACAAGTATTTTGATCGATTTCTAAAGATCATTATTCTATGGATCAATACAAAACTAAAAGTTTTTAAGTTCACAATTTGAGAGCTACAATTACTAAATTTGAAGTGAGACACACTTTTGTAAGAATTGTGCGACCATTTAATGAAGTTAAACTCTTTCGCGTACTCAAATATTTAAAGGTTTTTTTATGGAGTTTAGATTGGTGTGGCTCACTGTTTACCTCTAATTATCAAGTATTGACAAATCACTATAATGTAAAAAGTTTAACGGATGGTAATTCAACATTTTACAAAAATTAAAAATTAAATTTTGACACATCGAAATTATAAAAATAACGGTCTAGTATTAGTGGCCCAACTTTTAAAAGTTCATATCAAGCTTGAAAAATCTCTCAAGTCCTCCCGAATGTATACTGTAATTCTAATTTTTTTTATAAAAATATCCCCCAAGGAAATTTCAATGAAGCACCATGAAATGCTGGCATTATTCTAGAGTGCAACGTCGACTAAGGCAAGAGTTGATCGAGCAGGTAATTACAGTTCTCAGCTATCACATTAAAAAACACTAGTGCTTCACTAGAATAACATGATGGTTAGGAATTTTTTTTTTTTTTTTTATCCTAAAGAGAAATTGTCCGTCGATAACTGCAGCGTCCTCTGTGGACTAGCACCTCCAGGATACAATGATTAAATAAACCAATTGTGCAGCAATCACATGAGTTTTTCAGAACTCTCAAGTGTACTCCATAAAATATATGAATCTGAGAATAATATTTTTTACTGAATATGAAGAAAGTAATTTCGTTCCTTGTTGTATTTTCTCCAAAGCCCAGATGTGTGTTTATATAGGCAGAAAACTAAAGTAACTGCCAACACCATGATCCAGCATTAGTTTCAATTTTAATGTTTAGTGGTAATGGAATTATTAATACTGGACAAGTAAAACAGTCATATTCTACTGACGTTTTAATATAATGCGGGAGGCGTGACTCGAACCCCTGACGTCCTACACAAATTCCACACTTTTCACTAGTTGGGCACTTCATCTTAATTAATTATTTCTTACAAATATTATATATATTGTATTAATATATAACATCCTACTCCCCTATTCTCGCAATGTCCTCGCTTGGATGAGAGTTCCTAGACCATCAATTTTGGTATCAAAGACTTTTAATATAATGCGTGAGGTATGACTTGAACCCTCCATCTCCCACACAAATTTCACACTTTTCACCAATTGGGCACTTCATCTGAATTAATTATTTCTTTCACATATTATATTTATTGTATAAATATCTAACACTTGGCACTGTTACATTCATCCATTTTAAAAATTATTAAGACTGTTTTATATTGTACAACTAGCTTTATTGCTCGTTTTAATAACTAATAAAACCAGGACCACTTTCTACTATTTTACGAGGCACTACAATCCTACAAGACTCAAGTTGTATGTACAACTATGATTGACAATTTTTGTTGACAATCATGAATTGTCAAAATCAACCAAATAAATTTGACAATACATGAATTGTCAACAAAAGTTGTCAACAATCATTGTTTGGTTAGCATGAAAAATCACAAGGTTTGAATCAATAACATATCTTGTGTAATTTATGCTTCAACCAGTGGTCTTAATTAGCCCTTGTTTGGTTTATTTAAAAAAAGTTGATAAAAAATTAAGTCAAAATCAATAATTAATTTAATTGCATATTTTATGGAATCTATAATTCTTATTAACTTTTTAATTACACATTTTATTAATTTTTATTAAAATTTACTATAAAAATATTATTTTAGCTAAACGAAACACGAACTTAATTTCCAGATTCTAGCACGTTCAATGTATTCTAGTTGGGTTGACTTAAGAGAAATTAGACTAGACGTAATATATGAGGTAATGGTGTCACAGATTTGAATAATCTAACGTTCTAATACTTATTAATATTTGAAATTTCATTTTAAATGGTCAATCAATTTTTAAATATGAACATTCATTTGAACTTTAAATCGATTGAATTACTCGTTAGAGTTCAATAAAATCTGATATCATATTAAGCTTCTGTTTGGGCTCTATTTTTTAGAAAATGCATTTTTCCCTCTTTTATTTTCAACCATACATTCTCTCATAAAATAATATTACACATAAATCAAAAAAATTTCCTTACTTTTTAACCGTACATTCTTAAAAAAATTACTATTCCAAAACACATTTTTTCCAAAATTTATTTTTAATAGAGCCCAAACGGAAGCTAAATGTCCGTTTGACTTTTGAAAAGTTAAAACCTATTTCTAGGACTAACATATTACGTTTGGATTTATTTGACTAATTTTCTGAAAACACTTTGTTAATTAGAAGATCTTTTAGAGAAATTTTTTCCAAGATGACTTCTCATAAATCTCTTTTACAAAAATAAAATAAAATAAATAAATAAATAAATAAGGAAAATAAAAGAAAAAACCTGAAGTCCTACCAAACAAGTTCTAAAACTTGTAATTTTGTTTTAAAATGTCAATCTTGATAATCTAAACACTTATATATTAATAATTAATATTTAATTAACTTGGAATTTATTCCCTTTGTAAATAACTTTCAAGGTCAATGCATCGGAAAGAAAATTGATTTGTAGTTTCACATTGCTTGCAATTAAAGGTCTTTTATCCCGTCATCGTAAATTCGTTGTAATTTGTCTCTTCTGATCCATGTTTCAATATCTATAGACTGACAAGGGGATCGCATTTAAATTCGGGTAACTTACAAATATACCCCTAAAAGTAGAGATGTTTTGATAAATCATATGAAAAATATTTTGAACATAAAAAATACTGTATAAAATTCCCCACCACTCCAAATCTCTTCTAAACAACGGCATTGGCCAGCACACTCCTTTTCCAATTGGACTAGTTATGGAAGAACTTGCGCACACGGAAGTGACCAAATGAACGACAAGAAACGTAGACAAAACTCAAATTTCAAATGGAGAGCATACCTTCGGAAGAAAGAAACACAACAATTTACGGTCTATTGTTAAAATTGAATATTACCATTCGTCTCGCCCTTCGGATTCACAATAACCACACCATTATCAGCAAACCAGAAAACAATGATTAGGGTTTCAGTAAATGCAACTGCTTCTCTAACATTCTTAGATATTGTCTAGGGCAACAGTGATAGAAGAAAAGTTTGATATAAAAAATGAACGGTGTTGGTGCAAGCAAAGATTAAGAATGAGAATGGGGCTTATGGTCTAAAGCAACGGAGACAAAAGAAAAGTTATTGGAGGCAGAGATGGTGGGGAAATGGCTATGTAGTTTGATCAACTGGGGATTTTATTCACGTATTAAATACGGTTCTAGAAGGTTTTATATTGTTTTGGGTACTAATCTAATTTGTATTTTTTTTTGAATAATGCTAGATGACCATAATGTTTAACATAATGTTTCACATAATTGCCACATGTTTGGCCCCTATTGGAGGGTTGCCGAGCCCCTATTGGAGGGTTGCCGGGTGGGCTCCAATAGGGGCCAAACATGTGGCCATTATGTCAAATGCTATGGGTACCTTTATGTACCCATAGTATTACCCTTTTTTTTTAGACTAGTGAGTCTAATTTGCCCTTTAACTTCCACCAGCCAAATGGCCATTTGACTTTAAAATATGGGAGAATTGCAACGATGGTATCAAAATTTTTATTTTATTGCAGACATGATTAAAAAATTTCATTTGCAACATCCGTATCAAATCTTTCAAAAATTCACACTTAGAATCCAAATGGATTGAAACTATCTATTGGACTGTTAATTGATCAGAATAGTAGGATTTGACCAAATGTAATAAGGGTAAAATAATAAGTTTACAATTTTAATATAAAATAATTATAATAATTTTTTTTGAAAAAAGAAACTTTTCAATCGCAATTGATGGCAAATCCAGTAGAAGTTTCACTAATTGAGCAGAATGAATTTAATTTTAGCGAGTTTTCAAGCCCCAATTCATGGCAGAATCAATTAAATGTCGAATTTTCACTTCACCAAGAACATGCGCTATTCACTCACCAGGTGAGGTATGCAGAATGATATAAAAGTCTCTTCCAGTTTCGAGAAATTCAGATTGTTCAATTTGTTAGTTCACAAAAAGGACTCCCAATTAGTTGATTTACATTGATATCTTGCTGGCACTTCTTCTGTTCATTTCTGCTGAATTAGTTGTGGGTTGGGTTGTAGTGGAAAAGATTTAGGAAATTTTGTTCAAGAAATTTTGGGTCACATGGGCTTCATGGCTATAGGATATAGATGGTTTCCGGTCACATATTATCCATCGATGATAGTGGGCATCAAAATAGACAAACAAATTCAAATTGACCCACTTTCATTCAAGGTCAGGGTCAAGCCAATTACAGTAAAAAAAGATTTGGAAAAACTAAAATATTCTGGCCAACGTAAATTACATATAAAAATGACACCTTATATATTATTCAACAGTAAAATCAAAGTTACAAATGTATTTAGGAAAAAAAAAATGTAAATAATTCTTGGTGTCATATTTTTAGCTAAGTGATGAATTAGTAAAATTTATCTCCGGTGGTAAAGATAAGCTAAGTTTTATGTATCATCTGTGCTTTTGATGACGATATATATTTTACGATCTTGGATGTAATTCAGTAATTGATACTTCATTTGGAGAGAAGGCTGCCAAGTTTGACGTGGATTTGTCCAAATCTTGCACTATGGGCAAGCTCTGTGTTTTACTACTATGAAAAAATGCCGGTTGACGAGGAATAGCAAGAGGGGCCGAATAACCATTGAGCGCCAAAAGTATTGAAGCCATGTTTGGTCTTTCATCAGCATCTTCTTGAACACACAGCAAGCCAATTTGAATGCATCGAATTACTTCATTACTAGCATACGCGTTTTGTAATGTTAGATCCATCAATTCCAACGGTCTATTGTCTCTCCAAAGCTTCCAAGACTGTACATCAATAGCCGTTGATTTTTTAAGCTCTAATCCTAAATTCAATAGAAATAATAAACGAAAGGAAAACAGAAATACGTCAATAACAAATATGGCCTCAAGAAATAATTTGAAGTTTTCACTTACATAGCTTAAGAGATCCTCAGCACCATATGATTGGTAGAAGCTATTCTTCTTGCCGCTTATGATTTCCAAAACAAGGACGCCAAAACTAAAAACATCGGATTTTATAGAGAACTGTCCATGCATTGCATATTCCGGAGACATGTAACCACTACAATAGATATATCTTGAGCTAATAAACTTAAGAAGATCATTACTTGATTGTAATAAAATCCACTTATTACTTAATTTGGCAAATGGATTAAAGTAGAACTTACTATGTCCCGACAATCCTACTTGTATTTCCTTGAAATTGATCAACGCCAAAAATTCTCGCCATGCCAAAATCCGATATTTTTGGACTCATTTCTTCATCTAACAATATATTGCTAGCTTTGAGATCACGATGTATAATTCGCAGACGAGAATCTTCATGAAGGTAAACCAATCCGCGTGCTATTCCTCCTATGATCTTGTAACGATTCGACCAATTCAACATTTGCCTTTTTTCTGGATCTTTACATCCAATAAGAGAATGAATCAGGTTATTTAGCACTGACTGTTAACATAGTTTTTGAAGGCCAAGTCTCAGAAATAAAAACTGAAAGGCCTTAACTGGAAAATTTATATTATGTATCTGTATATTTTCTCGTCTAACTTATTTTTTTTATCGGCAGCCAATGTATAGGAATTTTGTATAAAGATGAGAAAAGAAGTAATCATATCAAGATTGATGCTTACTGAATAGAAAATAATCAAGGCTTTTATTGCGCACGAATTCATAAACAAGTATCTTCTCTTCTCTTTCCAAGCAAAATCCAAGTAGTCTTACTAGATTTCTGTGTTGAAGCTTGGCGACAACTACAACCTCATTCTTAAATTCTTTTGCGCCTTGTCCTGAATTTTTGGAAAGCCTCTTTACTGCTATTTCTTGTCCATTCAAGAAAGTACCCTACAAGCACGTTTGAACATAGTTTGTACGCTACAGTGAACAAAAATTTAGCTCATTTTTTTCGTCAATACTCTGTCTAATGCTATATAGCCCGACTTACCAAACAAACCATACCTGTGTAGAAGACGTTGCTAAAAATTGTAAATATAAAGGGATAAAACCTAGTGCTTAAAATTATATTCCTTCATCAAGTACCTTGTAGACACTACCGAATCCACCTTCACCAATTTTGTTGTCAGCGGAAAAGTTGTTGGTAGCTAGCGCAATAGCATTCAAGTCATATTGCAAGGATTCAACTGACGAAATCTCGTTTCCTTCGTCTACATACAAAAATAGCAAATCATTACATGAATTTCTTTAATGTAGGATTGAGTGAACATGTGAGAAAATACGTTTTTCTATTGATTTCTTGCTGTCTTATACTGAAATTGCTATAGTAAAATGGTGAAGTAGACAAAAACTGCTGAATAAGTAGAAACATACAAGATAAACAATATTAGATCATAGGCTTTCCTGCTATAAAATCACTAACCAATTATATTTAACAATAGAACACTCAATTTATTCTCTCTCTTTCCACTCTCTGTTTCTCACTCACGCACACACTCACACACAGACTCTCATCACTCATACTCTCCACTTGCACACACTACAACAGAGACAGACACACATATATATATAGGCATTAAAAGTCGGTGGTTTTTTCTACACATTTCTGTTTAGGAGGTGGAGGAGACAACTCTAGAATGGCGGTGGTTGAAGTAGATGTGTCAGTTGTTGCTCCTCCTCCTAGTATGGCGGTAGAGTTCACAATTTCTATAGCTAGGAAATTCTGGTGACTTCCATAAAGTCGGTGCTGCATCTTCATCAAATTGTCCATATTGAGATATATGCTTAACAATTTGGGCCCTATGATGAACCCATTGTAATATGAAGATTCCAGCCCATTGACTACAACCCAGTAGCCCATTCATTATATTTCAAAGGCTGAGATGAAGCCACTTGGAAGGGTTGTGATCATTGGATGAGTCTGATCGTTTGTATTATTGGCTTGACCTTTTCATTTGCCGGTATTCGAGATGATTCTAGGGTTTTCTCATCTCTTGCTTTCTTTGTTCTCTTTCTCTCAAAAGCTTTGATTTTCGCCTGTAATATCTAAACTCTAGGTGTTTTTTGGTGAGATCTAGTGTTTGTAAGGCTGTGGTTTGGGCGATTCTGTTCTTATTGTGATCAGTAACTGTTGGTTACTTTGTGTAATTGAGTCCGTGGTTTCTTGAGAGAAAATCTGGGTCTGAGGTCATTTTCCTTCGTGGGTCTATTGTATTATGATACTTGCTTCAATTAATTGCTGATTTCTATTGGATTGGAACGATAATCATTTCGATGAATGCTCAACGGGTGATTAGCCCTATTTGGGTGAACATCTGAGTCTTAGGGTGAAAAATCATTTGTGTTCAATTTACATTCTGCAATTATTTTTGTGTGTTTGGGACCTGTTAATACCAACAGTGATATTGGAGCTTTTCGATCTTCAAAATTTTTCGATTTGGATCTTTGTTTGGTGAACGTGACTCTAGTTCTACAAAGATCTTTTCTGGAAAGAGTCGGGTTGATTACCTTTGGCAGAGAAAGTAAAATAGTCCTGGTTTTCACTATTTTACACCACGGAGCTGAAACGTTGGTAATGAGTTTCTAACCCTAAATTACTGTGCCTTTTTCGATCTTTACTTTTCTTTGATCTCTTGTTCGAAACCCTCCCAGATCTTCCTTTGTCGAGGGTTTCATTCGAGAACCCTAGAATCTGAGGGGACTGAGATTAACGGTTTCTTCAAGATTATCTTTGAGTTCTATAGTTCGAAATTGGTATCTTCTGGTGTTTGGGTTATATCTGTGATATCTTGTTATCTATATCTTTGATATTGTTAAACTGTGTACACTTGCTTGAAATAAAATATTTCCTGCATTCTATTACTCCGTATAAGTGTACAATAGTTGGTTCTGTTATTCTTTGTGTGTGGTACATCATACTTTGCACCTGCCTCTACATTGCTTAAGCATTTACCGTGTGTTTCGAACTCTTAACATGGGTAGTACCAAAGTTGATGTTGACATTTGGAATGGGAAAGGAGACTTTACACTTTGGAGTAGAAAAATTAAAGCTCTGTTAATTCATTTTAGATGTGCTAAAGTTCTTGATGGATCTTGGGGGGAAGAAGTAGCTGATAATAAAAGATTTGAACAAGGTGAAACTGCATGGAACACAATATTTCTGCATTTATCTGATAGTGTCATTAGAGAAGTAGGAGAGATTGAGACTGCAGCTGCAATATGGGCAAAGCTTGAATCTCTTTATAAAACTAAGACACTTCCCAATAAATGTTACCTGTAGAAACAATTTTTCAATTTTAAGTTTGATCCCAATTGTGATCTTGAAACTAATCTTGACAGATTTAATAAACTTTATCAAGATCTCACCAATAGTGATAAAAACTCTTTCCAGTGATAAAAAATCTCTTTTGAGTGTACTTTTCATATGACACCTCACAAAGATTCTTTCACTGATTTTATTGAAATAAATGGAGGACATGTAATATTGGGAAATGACTTCTCTTGCAAACTAAAAGAGATTGATAAAATTGTTTTAAATTTGGAAAATGGGAATGTTCTGATTTTGAACAAAATTAGATACATTCCAGACCTTAAGAGAAATTAAATCTCTTTAGGTTCCCTTGATGATGAAGGTTTCAATACCATCATAAATAAATGTATTCTAATACTTCAAAAGGATTTTGCAAAAGTCATTAATGTTGAAAAATTCAATGAGATTTACACTTTTAAAGCTTTACCTTTACAAAGCAAATCTTTTGCTGCTACAGTCTCATAATCTGATAAATCTGAATTATGGCAGAGAAGACTAGGACATATTAGTGATAAGTACAATTTCTCAAAAAGGAACAATAAAAATTTCTCAAATAAAAGCATTGGAAAACATAAAGAATTTTCAGAAAATGTCAATGGTAGTAAATCCAACTTCAATAAGAATAATAATAAGGCAAAGGGAAAGAAATGTTATTTCTGTGGAAAATTGGGACATTTTATTAAAGATTGTAACAAAAGGATTGATGAACTAAAAATTGTTAATAAAGTTGATGGCGGGGCTGCTTTAGCTTATGAAGAAGCTGCAGCTTCTGATGGGCAGGTTTACATGGCCAGCCAATCATCAACTAAAAATGAATGGATTCTTGATTTTGAGTGTACTTTTCACATGACACCTCACAAAGATTCTTTCACTGATTTTATTGAATTAAATGGAGGACATGTAATATTGGGAAATGACTTCTCTTGCAAACTAAAAGAGATTGATAAAATTGTTTTAAATTTGGAAAATGGGAATGTTATGATTTTGAACAAAATTAGATACATTCCAGACCTTAAGAGAAATTTAATCTCTTTAGGTTCCCTTGATGATGAAGGTTTCAACACCATCATAAATAAATGTATTCTAATACTTCAAAAGGATTTTGCAAAAGTCATTAATGTTGAAAAATTCAATGAGATTTACACTTTGAACGCTTTACCTTTACAAAGCAAATCTTTTGCTGCTACAGTCTCATAATATGATAAATCTGAATTATGGCAGAGATACAGTTTCATAGTCTGACCAATCTGAACTTTGATATAATAGTCTAGGACATATTAGTGATAAGAATTTGTACATTCTTAAGAAACAAGGTTTTTTAGGAAATAAAATAATAGAAAGAATGTCTTTCTGTGAACATTGCATCTATGGAAAACAAAAGAAATTACCTTTTGTTACTGGCATTTATAAATCACAATCTATTCTTGACTACTTTCATGCTGATTTGCGGGGACCAACTACAGTACGCACTTACTCTGGCTTTAAATACTTTTTGCTGATCATTGGTGATTTTTCAAAGAAAAGTTGGGTCATTCTTTTGAAAAGAAAGTCTGACACCTTCAAAAATTTTGTAGAATAGAAAACTCTTATTGAAAATCAAGTTATTAAAAGTGTTAAAGCACTTAGATCTGATAATGGCCTTAAATTTTGCAATGAAGAGTTTAATTCTTTCTGCAAAACTAATGGGATCCTTAGACATAAGACTTAATTTATACTCCTCAACAGAATGGGCTTGTAGAAAGGATGAATAGAACCCTGTTAGAAAAGGTTAGATGTATGCTGATAAGCTCTGGCTTACCAAAGTTATTTTGGGGAGAGGCAGTAAACTTGAGCTGTGCTGCTTTTGTAAACTGAAAATCTTTGGCTGTGCTGCTTTTGTACATCAGAATGAAGGGAAACTTGAGCCCAGATTTGTTAAGGGTATTTTTTTTAAGGTATGGTGAAGGTGTTAAGGGTTATAGGGTTTGGTTAAGAAATCAAGGAGGCTATAAGGTTATTATTAGCAGGATTGTGATCTTCAATGAGTTAGATATGCCATACATTAAAGGAAAAGAGATAGCTACAATTGAAATTGATCAAAATAAAAATGTTTTAGAATCTGAACTTTTTCAAGCAGATTTAAACTCTGAAAATAATGATCAGTTTGACGTGGAGCTAGGGCATGATTTAAATACCGAACCTGAAAATGATACTGAGATTGAATATGCTATTATACCTGAACCTGAACAACCTGAAAACCCTTTAAGAGACTATCATCTTGCAAGAGACAGAGTTAGAAGGGAAATAAGACCTCCTTCTAGATACAATGATTTTGAATTTGTTACAGCCTTAAATGTCCAAATTTTTTTGGGTAATGAGCCAAATTCTTATGAAGAGGCCATTGAGAGAACATACAAGTTCTTGGCTTGCTGCTATGAAAGATGATATACCTTCGTTAATAAAAAATAAGACTTGGATCTTAGTGAACAAACTTAAAGGGGAAAGAGTTAATGACTATAAATGGATTTATAAAGTAAAAGAATGAGACTCTAATAATGAGGGTGTAAGATTTAATGCTGGATTAGTTGCTAAGGGCTTTAACCAAAGAGAGGGAATTGACTACAATGAAATATTTTCACATGTAGTCAAATACACCTCCATAAGAGTCTTACTTTCTATTGTTTCTCAATTTGATTTTGAATTAGAACAATTAGATGTCAAAATTGCTTTTCTACATGCAAATTTGGATGAAAAAATTTATGTCTCAACCAAAGGGGTTTGAACAAAAAGGTAAAGAAAACCATGTGTCTTTTATAAAAATCACTATATGGCTTGAAACAAGCTTTCAGGCAATGTATATTAGGTTTGATACTTTTATAAATGTACTTGATTTCAATAGAAATGAATATGATCCATGTTTTT